CTCATATCACAGAGCTTCCGAGCCTGCAAATAACAAAATTTAAATGACATTTTTAAAAAATTTAATGTGAAGTACTTGAGTTATCCGTAGCCTGATACCTTCATTATTGTTTCCGACGCGCCCTTTTGTCCGCTCGCTCCATCCCTGTCCCTTGGCCAACTTACCGTCACGTTATCTCATGGAGAGTTCATCCACCGCCGGCGATCCAACAACCGGCCGTCCGGCCGGCGGAACGGAGCTGAGCTGGTGCCGTGCGGTCCCCAGCGGCACTGGTGTAACAGTCCTCGCCCTCCTCCTCTCCCGCACTCCTGCTCTCCCCTTACTCCGCTCGTCCCTCCGACGCCTTCAGCTTTCCCATCCCATACTCCGTGCCCGCCTCCCCTCCGCCGCTGCCTCCAACTCCAGCAAACCTCCTCCCATCCTCATCTCCCCCACTCCTTCCGATGTTATCGAGCTCATTCCCTCCGATCAAGTATCGCCGATTACCGCTAACAGAGGTACGCCGCCGGTCTCTTTCATCGATGCGATCCTGGAGCACGAGATGAGCCGAAACCCTTGGGCTGAACTCGAGGAGGGTAAGTCCGTCGGGCCCTTCTTCGTTTCCGTCTACGAGCTCCAGGAACCTGGTCATTCTGTGGTCGCGCTGCGTTTCCATACCGCAGTCTGCGATCGAATCGCCGGGATAGCGATCTTGAAGGCACTCATGGGTTATATAAGCAGTGGAGGAGGGGCCGATCGGGAAGGCAGAGAGGACTCCGCTAAGGAGAAAGAAGGGGAGATTGGTCTGGCGATAGAGGATTTGATCAGGAACGAGGACGCTCGGAAGCCATTCTGGGCTCGTGGGAAGGACTTGATCGGTTACTCGCTGAACGGAATAAGGTCTTCCGTGTTGCGGTTCGAGGACGCCGGTTCCGCACGCAAGTCTGAATTCGTAAGGTTTGTGATGGATGCGGCGGCGACTCGGAGGTTGCTCACCGTGAGTATGCAACGCCAGCTTTACTAATTTTGGCTTTTATGTTTTTATATATCCATGTGACATATTTTTAATTGCACACCTGACTGCTTTTTATATATCTTCGTGACATATTTAACTGCACACCCGACTGCCATTTGAGTCGCCATGCAGATGGATTTATTGCCAATTATCCATAGATTATAGAATAGATGATTGCATTAATGGCAACTACCACTTGCTCATGCAGATGGCAACATTTCTTATTGCTATAGTATTTCCCTCTTGACTCTCCTTTGCTCAATCTAGAAGAGTGCCTTCCTCTTGGTCTTAGCTTTTAATTTTTGTTAATCCGACCTTTTTTTTT